ATATAATATGGCACGTAATCATGCACTATAATCCAAATCCACAGAGGATAAGGAAAAATATAAGGAAACTATACTATTTTGGGACCAACAGATGGTAGAGTGGTTATATCACTGGACTCTCATATGACTGACAACAATTCAAGTTCTGAACCCAGTGGCTTGAAAAATCACAGCAGGTGCATGTTCATGTGTAGCCCTGATCCCAGGAGGAAATTGGAAGATGGAATTGTGGCATGGTCATCCTCTGGGGGGTGATTTCTCACTTTCCTTTCCACTGTCTCTCCAGCAAGCTCATTTAACCTAACTGAAAAAAAAAAAAAAAAAACCTTCTAAAAAAAAGACTATATGAATTTGAACAATGTTTCAGTTTAAGCATCCTAGAAGTTTCTTTGAAAATTAACATGTTTATATACCTAGTTAAGGACCTAAAAGAAACTTAATATTTTTTATGTTAATCACAGTTCTTAAATTTTGACACAAAGAAATATCTTTTCAAAATTTCTTTTCATATATGAGAGCTTCAATTAAATAATGGAAAATAAAAATGCAGTGCAATTTTACTTCGATGGAAAATAAATTTAAATTCATGTTTATTTTTGATAATACATACTCCAAGAACTTTTAGAGGACCTCTTATACTCTTCCCATAGTATTCAGTACCTGCCAGATATTTTCCAGAAATAATTTCTCTATTACTTGAGCCATCGTGACACCCCAATCTTTATGTATCTAGAAGGCAGAAGGTGGTAAAAATGGTTACATCAATTTAAGTTTTTAATATTTTTCTCAATTTCTTTAATTTAAATATTTTATAGTTTATTCTTCTGGGGTTCACTTGCCAACAAAACTACTTCTTGCTTTCTGCATCAACCTACTTGTCTTCCTTAGCTACTGGATTCTTTGAAGTTCTATTTTCTGCCAATATTAAATATTTAGAAAGTCATCTTTGTCTGCATTTCCTATATCAGTTCTCTCCCTTTGGCCAAGCCAGTGAAGTTTTCTTACACTGATCCCTAACAACTTACCTACAATATTTGTTTATTAACATCAAGCGGTCTTCCTGTGCTTCTGAAGAGTGCCAGCTTTCCCATTCTGACAGAAATTTCCAGAGGATCTGAAAACTATCATTAATCTGAAACTAATTTTTTTCTTTGCTTTAAGGAAATGAAGGTTCCTTTTATTACTCTAGTTGCTTTTTTTGGCCTGTTTTGGAAAGTTATTGCAAAAACATCTAATTCTTCTAGAACTGATACTGTAACTCACAAGAAAAAAGTGTTATTGCCAAGTTAAAAATGTCTTCTGGGTACCTTCCCTGAAAATTGAACTTACAACATGTTGCATCTGAAATTCTGCATTTTAAATCGTTATTGAATCAAGAAAAGACTCTTCCTCAGCTTCAGTGTTTTGTAGTGTGACAAATAAGGACGTTGCTCATCAGGAATTTTTCTAAAACAGAATATCCATGAACTAATGACAAACAAATGTTGATGTTTTATATATATATGTGTGTGTGTGTGTGTGTGTGTATTTAACAAATATTTATATATTTGACAAATTTTCTGAAGTTAAGAGTGGTTATTTTGATTATGTATGATTACTTTTTCCATATGAAAATAATTATGACACTTTCTTTAACAAATGTGCCTATATCTTACTTATTGGAGAAAGATTTCAGTGTAGTAGAAACGTATAGATTTTCCTGGAAGTGAAATTAATGAACTGCATTAAATTCTACTCTTACTTAATCAGATTATTGTTTTATATAGACATGCCACAAGTAATCTATACATAAGACATACTGTGGAGGCCCAGATTTACTATCATATTTGGTTTACCATGTTTTCTTGATGCTTTCAGAATATTACGGTCCCTCATGGTGTCTCACCCCAGCAGACAGAGGATTGTGTGCAGCTAATGAGAACAGATACTACTACAATTCCATCATTGGGAGATGCCGTCCATTTAAGTACAGCGGATGTGGGGGAAATGAAAACAATTTTACTTCTAAAAAAGCATGTATTAGGACATGTAAAAGAGGTATAGAAGATATTGTCACCATTAATTCACTGTTTTTTAGGATAACAATTACATTGAAATTATAAACAAATAAATGTTAACCTTTAACATGTCAGAAAATTATTTCTCTTTATTATAAGAAACTAAGAATGGAGCCAGCCCCATGGCGTAGTAGTTAAGGGATCTAGATCCCACATGGTTTGAATTTCAGAGCCAGTGGCTTGAGAAACAGACCAGACACATGTGTGTGCATGCCCAAATCCTGATGGGATAGAAAAATGAGAAGGCATTGCAGCAAAACCAAGCTCCATCAGGCAGTACTTACACCCTCTCCTACTCCCTCTTTCTTTGGGGAGTGCACATAGCCTCTGGCAAATGAAGAGAAAAGAAACAAAGAATTATCATTTAGCTAACAGATTTTTTTATATATTTAAATAATAAATGTGTGTGCATGCCCAGATCCTGATGGGATAGAAAAATGAGAAGGCATTGCAGCAAAACCAAGCTCCATCGGGCAGTACTTACACCCTCTCCTACTCCCTCTTTCTTTGGGGAGTGCACATAGCCTCTGGCAAATGAAGAGAAAAGAAACAAAGAATTATCATTTAGCTAACAGATTTTTTTATATATTTAAATAATATTGATGGATACATTGCTTATAATTCCCCTTAATGTGTCTTCATAGGAAAAAAATAAACTTTTTTCGTTAAAAATGATAATTCTTTTTTTTTTCTTTTCAGGGTTTTTGCCATAGGGCACGTGTGCTTGCTGGAGAGAGGGTGATAGAGACAGTTAGAGGGAAAGTGAAAAATTAACCCTCAGAGGGGATAGTCATCCTGTAATCTATTCTCCTCTGTTCTCCTCCTGTGATCTTGGGTATACAGGCACACACACCTGGCATGAGTTTCAAGATACCAGGTCCAGGACTTGAACTATGGTCAGCCATGTGGGAGTCAAGCAACATAACAACTATGCCATGTGTTGGCCCCAATGATAGTTTTTTAATGTGTAAAGAATAAGCATTCATTTTAAAGGATTATATGTAGAGTCAATCTTGTAGCCCAATGGTTAAAGGAGCCAGATGTCACATGGCCAATCACAGATAAATCCTGACTCTATGGCTTGAAAAATATGCCAGGCACATGTGTGTATATATGTGTATGTCCCCCAAATCCTGTCAGAGAGAAGGAATGGGGATAAAAGGGTAGTGGTGTGACCATGTCCATTGAGAGGTTCTCTCTCCCTCTCCCTCTCCCTCTCGTTTTCTCTTGGGTGAGTACATGTGCCCTATGAAGGGGGGAGGATTTTGTTTAAATACCTTTAATTTACTTATTTGCACAAAATTTTAACATATATATTAATTTATTCTGAATATAAAATCAATGCATCTATATAGTAGAAAAGAAAGATTTAAATAAAAGTTATTTATAAGTTATTTATAATTCCATCAATTATTCAGTGACATTTTCACTTTTTAATTTTCAGTTTAATTTACTATTTTACATAAAGCCTGCATCATTGTGTATATCATCTATATATATAATATGTATATATTATATATGTATATATGTGTGTATATATTATATATAAATCTTTTTAAAATAAATTGAACATAAATTTTAACTAAAGATAAGCTAATGAAAACAACCTACTTATATATTGTGAAGTCTTATATATGTGAAGTGACTTTCTTAGAAATAAGTAATAAGTTATTCTACACAAAGACACCCTTAAAATAAAGTTTTTTTGTCTTTTTTTTTAGGTTTTTGCTGCAGGGCATGTGTGCTCACCAGAGAGAGACAGCGAGAGAGAATGAGAAGTCATCCCCCAAAGAGAGATGGCCATACCATCTCTTCTCCTCCGTTCTCGTCCTGGGACTTTGAGTAAACACACTCACATGTGCCCAGCATGGCCTAACATGATTTTCAAGCCATCAGGTATGGGACTCGAATCACAGTCAGCCATGTGAGAGTCCACCACTAACCACCACACCATCTGCTGGCCCTAAATTAAAGGCTCTTAAACAAATTATACATTATGGATTTGAACATTAAAAGATATTTTGAGAAAATTTAAAAACAAATGTTTGAACTTGTTACTTTATCATGCTTAAATTCGTTGCCTTTACTTTTTTAGGTTTCATCAAAAGAATATCAAAAGGAGGACTAATTAAAACCAAAAGAAAAAGAAAGAAGCAACCAGTCAAAATAGTATATGAAGAAATTTTTGTTATGATATAAATTCATCGTATTATTAGAACATTATTTCTACTGAATATTTTAAATAAAACATTTGTCTTGGTTTCTATTTTTCCCTCACCAAAATACTTTTAGCGGATATGTTCCCGAAGTAGTTTTCTATGCTTATTGTACCTGCTATTGATACATTGGCATCAGAGTTTCTTTTCTTATTTGTTAAAATGGCTTATTCTAGAGCTATAATTTAACCGACTACTGTGAATTTACCATTTCTCTTCATCTCTTTCTGTCGGACATGTAATTCTAAATTATTATACCATTAACCACATCAAATCAGTCCTCTTTTCTATTCAGTGACTCTTGATTTGTGATTAAGTTTTCACATATCCATTATGACCATCCATATGCTGAAATTTTCTGTAGTCTATGAGCACATTAGAACATACAATTATTTAAGAAAAAATACTTTTAGATTTCATGTCTAAAATGATGACAAACACCTGCTCTGATGAAGTGCACTCAACCGGACATTAGGAAAGAACTGGGATAATACAATTCTCTCATGTGTTTTTATATACACTTTTACTTCTGTGCTAATATCTCCATCAATATGAACCAAATGGTCTTTGAACTAAGAGCAGTCAACTCTGCCATAAATGCTTGCCTAATTTTGATTTAACTTCTTTTTTTCGGACTATTTCCCATTATATCAGTCAAGATGTTTGAATAATTGTGTGTTAAATACAATTCATGATAAGAAGAAATGGATGGAAGTTTTTAATGGCAATCAAGAGGAAATCTGTCACTTGTACTTCCAAGTTTCATTGTTTGACAAAATGTTCTTTTACCCAAAACAGCAAGAATATTTAAACCTCTTAATATCAATTTATCTATCATTAGGCTTGGTACAACTATAACCAGTAACTCATGTTTGTTTGTTTGTTTGTTATGTATATTGTTCAGTAGAAGATAAAGTGATCAGTAAGAAATATTCTACTAAAAAATCCAAGTACTATTCATTTTCAGAGTTCAACTTACATCTCTCTGGAGTTGGACCACTATATCCAGGCCTATTTCTTTCCTTCTCCACTGAGCCATGTGCAGTCTGGCTTCTTAACATCTTCCTGGAAAAGTCCATTTCTACAATGTTCACCTGAAAATTCACATTTTAATCTGAACTTGTTTTCCTATGGAAATAATCACTTCATCTTCTTGGATTAACTTCATGACTCCTCTACAATGATAATTCTAACTGCTTCTCAAGCTTGAAAGCTTGAACTCAATTTTGCTATCTTATGTGTCCTCATATACTATATCTAAGTAGACTCTTTTTTTTATTTTTAGCTATGTCCAACCACAAGGCTTTCCACTGTCTTTGCAGTCCTTTACACCAATATTGAGTTATTTCTTCAATTTGTATATTTTTTCTCCATTCAAATTCCTGCAAGAACTCAGCTGATGCTTAAGTCTACAACCTCTGCCCTCTTAATACAATTTTGATCCACCTTTTTAGGCTTACTAATAGTACTCTTTTAGTACTACTTCAATTTTGTTAAGAGTATTCACTGTTCACTGAATATATCTTGAATAACTAAACTTATTCATGTAGATTTTTTTACTTTTTGAGAGATTTTTGCTATAGGGTGTGTGTGCTTGCTTACCAGAAAGACAGAGACAGAGAGACAGAAAGTGAGAAATCACCCCCTAGAAGGGATGGCCACACCACAATCTCTTCTCCATCCTCATTTCGGAATCTTGGGCACACACACACATGTGCCCAGTGTGAGTTTAAGCCACCGAGTCCAGGACGCAAACCACGATCAACTACATGGGAGTCCAGAGACGTAGCCATTACGCTAACTGCTGGTCCCCCATGTTGATTTTCTATGTAAAAAACTGTTCTTTTCCAGGCCATTCATCTGAAGTCAGGATACTGGTGATAGCAGCAACAGGATCCCTGTTTCTAGATAAACTATGAAAAGCACTAACATATAATTATAAATAATTTTCATCCTGTTACCAAAATATTATATAATTACAATACAGAAGGCAGCAAGTTCAGTTTAAAGAACATTTTATATCTTGATTTCAAATGCTCAGTACATAAATAATTGCTTTAAAGTGATTCTTTGCTGTGAAATTTGAGACTTGTGGTAATCAGCCTTATAAAATATACTGTTGTCATTTATTCACGGATAGCAATAGCTTCAAAAAAGGGGAAAATCTCCCTAGGTTAAGCAGCAAGTTGCCATCAATGACATATAAACAGCACATTGGTCATTAACTCCAACATTTTCTCCAACAATAACTATCGATTTATTATTAAGAAATACATACTCTATGATGGTTTGCAGTGTTTAATGCATGTGAATATTACTGCTACTGTGCTTGGAAAAGCCCTCTGAGGTATGGTCTTTCTTTATTTTACATCATTAAATGTATCTAACTGTGAATTTTATGTAAAATCATATTATACAACATACACATTATTTACTTACTTTGTTTATTCTCTATATTCAAAATTAACAGATCTTTCTGAAAACTACTCAATTTTATTTTTTATATTAGAAGAACTAAAATATATTTTCCAGAAAAATAAAGTCTGACTGTTGTACTCATGAAGTTTTTCTGTGTTTAAAAATATTTCTTGGGGCAAGTAGGGGGCATGGTGGCTAAAGCACTGGAGTCCAATATGGCCAACCATGGTTCAAGTCCTGGATCTAGTGGTTTAAAACACGCTGGGTGAATATGCATCTGAATGACATGGCCATGCCCCCAAAGAGTGATTTCTCACTTTCTGCCTCTCTGTCTCTGTCTCTGTATCTGTCTCTCAGGCAAGTACATGTGCCCCATAGCAAAAATCTCAAAAGAAAGAAGGAAGGAAAGAAAGAAAGAAAGAAAGAAAGAAAGAAAGAAAGAAAGAAAGAAAGAAAGAAAGAAAGAAAAAGAAAATTATTTCTTCCTCTTTAGTTAATGCAAAGGGCAAAGATACAGAGTTCTTAGATTAAAAATTTAATAAATCATTCCCCCCAGCTTCACTCTATTTTAATGTCCTTAAAGTAGAATTTTCTAATAATCCTCTTTTAATTATAAGTACACATCCACATATTATGATTTATTTGTCAAACAAATTACTACAAGCTGTCCTAGCAATCTTCATAGTCTACATTTATTCTACTACATTTGTGTCATGTAACGATACATTGTATACACGGCTGCCAATTCTGACCCTGGAATCAATTTAGCTCATCTGCATACCAGAAGAAAGAAGAAAATGACAATATTCAACTATTTAGCGAGTGTTTTAAGTGTTCCATCAACTGCTCCTGCTTTTTTTTTTTATTTTTATGAAATTTGCATTTTTCTCTCTTTTTTCCAGGTTTTAACTCAGTTCTTTCTCAAGGATTTAAGCTTGGACATCCTTGCTTTTCCTGAATTCTGTGTAAAACAGAACTTCTTGCTCTTTTCAATCCTTCATGTCCTGTCTTTGAACCACTCTCACCACATACCTGTCTTGCCTAGAATTACACACAATACTTTTAAAGGGAGGATTTAAACAGTGGTGTGTGGGAATTCATTTCACTTGTTGGGTGGGGAAGTTGGGGAAAGGGAGAGGGAGAGGCATGCAATATAATAAAATAAATAAAGCATTAAGACAACAAATATGATATCCTCCTTAGTTACTCACGGATGACAAAAGTCCTAGTCCAAACAGTCTCAAACCAAAATGAGTAATACATTTGAATTACAAATAGAAAAGACCAGAGGTATTTGACTTCAGTGTGGACAGATTCAGTGCCTCAGATTTAATCATCAAAACTGTTTATTTTTGTGTCTCAATTGTGCTGTCCAACTTTTGCCTTCATTTCCTAATCTCACTGTTTTAAAATACTTCCAGAATCTTAGACCAATATCTCCCCAGTATAGACTTGGAAAATTTGGATTCTTTTACCTTAAATAATTTATTTAAGATCTCACTGTCATGCTCCTTGACCCTAATGTGTTATGGACAGTTCTGACTGACCACAATATTTAAAGATATATGACTTTATGAATGACAAGGTTTGATTCACAAATCCACACTCCCTAATACCTGGCTTGTGTAAAAACTATTTATAATGTATAATCTGACTAGAAGTGTTGGGTTTAAAGTGAAAGAAGTGCGGCACAAAATCTAAGGGCCATTAAAAAAAAAGAGAGAGAGAGAAGAAAAACCCTAAGTAACTGGGATAATACTATAATGCAGTATTTAAAAAAACCAATTGGTGTCAGCATTTAGGATGGTGGTTAAGGCACTGGACTCACATGGTGACCATGGTTCAAATCCTGCACCTGGCAACTTGCTTTTTCACTTTGTCTCAATCTTTCTCTCTCTCTGTGTGTGTGTGTGTGTCTCTCTCTGGTGAGCATGCATACCCTATAATCAAATTTAAAAATAATAATGATAAATAACATTAAATAATTCTAAAAATAAATAAACTTATAGCAAAAAATCCATTACCAGGAAAATATTTATATTTGTAAAAAGACTCCCACTTTCTCTCTCTCTGTCTTTGTCTCTCTCTGACAAACACATCGTATGACAAAAACCGTTAAAAAATGTAAAAAGGGTCAGTAACTGAATCATATTAGAATTTGAGGCAAAGGGAAAGGCTAATAATACTGATTTTTTAAAGAAATGTAAAAATGTTCAAATTTGATCATTGTATTTTTGAGAAGTGTTTGCCTTAGGGCATGGGAGCTCACCAGACAATCAAGAATGAGAGTCTTGAGTTTTCAGCCAATGAGGCAGACAGCGAGGGGAAGTGAGAAATCACCACCCCCAGTGGGGAGCGGCACACTGCAATCTCTTCTCCTCTGTTCTTCTCTCAGGATCTTGGGCACACATACACACATGCCCGATGTGATTTTCAAGCCACTGGGTTCAGGACTCAAACCATGGTTATGTGGCAGTCCAATGATGTGCCATCTACTATGCCATCTGCTAGTCTCAATCATTGTTTAATGTAAAAAATTTAATATAATAGTATAGGTTAAATTGTATACTCAAACATAGAGAACTCATTTGATAAAATTTGACACTTGTTTTATAATCAAAACTTTTAGCAAACAGGAGATCTGACAATCTGATGATGGATACCTACCAAAAACATACATTAACATGATACTTAATGACAAAATTTAAAAAACATTCCCATTGAAGTTATAAACAGGACTAAGATGCTTTCCACTACCTCTTCAATGATGTATCCAAAGAGTCTTGATTTTATAGCCAATGAGAAAACATCATAAATGATCTATATTTCTTACAGAATATATATGATATGATTATCACATAACATGCTTATCATAACTGAAAATCCAAAAGAATCACAAAATTAGAAGTAACATTGAGGTTTTATAGGACTGCTATATGAAAGTTGGACTTATGAAATCAAGAGCATTTCGGGAACCAGCAGTTAGAGTAATGGCTATGTCGCTTGACTCCCACGTAGTCAGCCGCGGTTCGCGTCCCAGACCCGGTGGCTTAAAACTCACGCCGGGCGCATGTGCGTGCGTGCCCAAGATCCCGAGAGGAGAATGGAGGAGAAGGGATTGTGGCGTGACCATCCCCCCCCGGGGGGTGATTTCTTTCTGTCTCTATGTCTCTCTCTGTCTGTCTGGCGAGTGCACCCGCCTTGTAGCGAAAAGAGTCTCTCCAAAAACAAAAAAGAAAAAAAAAAAAAAAAAAGAAGAGCATTTCAGTATGTTAGATAGAAAAATAGAAAATGTGTACTAGACACAGGAGAGAAAGAAAAATAATATCTAATTACCTGACAGTAAATCATAAAAGATGATTTTTAAATCTTTGAGAAAATTCAGTATGTTTTTGAGAGATTTAAGAGTTGAATATTTTCTAGTCATTTTCTTTATATTTAGAATTCACAGATAAATAAGTCAGCAATAACTCTAGAGAAAAAAAGAGACATTGGGCAATGAAGACATACAATGCAATTTTGAAAAATCAAGGAATACAAGAAAATTAAAAAAAAAAAAAACCTCTGAACTATAGAAAGAGATGTAAAATGGTACAGAAAAGATAAGAAAATTGGGTCATCAGTCCAGGAGCCCAACCTTAAAGTGATAGAAGTTTCTAGAAATAGAGGACATAAAATAACAGGAGATAGTCTTTACAAAACAAAAGTACATAATCTTTTTTTTTTAATTGAGATCTAGTAGGCATACTATCCCCAATAAAAGAAAGCACACCAGCCACACTCTATCCATAAACACCTCCCTCAACCTAGAATGAATTCCAAATACTATCAATAAAAAGATAATTCTAAAAAGACAGAAGAATGTAGAGAAATAATTCACATGAAGAGGAGCAGCAATAAAAGGTATTGTACATCTCAAAGACAAAAATGGAATGAAGCCACAAGATAGTTGTATACAAAAGTTTAAAGGCTGAGGATTAGCCGTTTTCTTGTTAGAAGCCTTTGAACAACAATTCCCCTTTCTATTATGTGTATGTCATGCTTTGGTACAAAATAAAATTTAATTGAAATAAATACAAAGGTATTTGATGCTTCTGCTTGTCATCAGAAGCTTTGAGGAAAAGTTCTAGATTATAAACTAAGAGATAATGATTTCTGTACCAATGACGACACTAATTTAGGAGATGAATTTGATACC